CGGCTGGGTCTGGGCCAGCCCCCATGGCAGGGTGGGGAGGAAGTGCCACCCAGCCCTGCTCCGCCACCAGCTCTGCTCCAGCCCCACCTCCAGTCATGCTCCGCTCCCTGGCTCCTGGTCCTGTGCTCGTCTCCACGCCCAGCCCGGTCCCAACCCCCAGCCTTGGGCCCCGGCCAGGGCTCCACTCCCAGCCCTGCCCCCAGACTTGGATTGCAAACGCAGCCTTGGCCCCAGCCACGGCCCCAGCTGTGCCCTCAGCCTTGGCTCCCTTACCCTGGTCCACGCCCTCCAGGAGCGGGGCCATGGATAGGGGTAAGGGGGGGCATGACCCTAAAAAGTTTGGGGACCACTGGTTTAGATCATCCATCAGCTGAGATGGTTTTATTAAGTCATATTGTTCTAACTAAAGACAGCTTAGCACAAATACAGAAAGGGGGAGGTCAAGATTGCTCTAATTTTCTCTGCCGGGGATGCAAGTTGCAGTGGTCACTGTTCCAAATTGGTCATAATTTCATGTTTTATTTTTGGTTTTTATACTCTACATTTATTTCTTTCTATAATGTGCAGTTAGCTACACACCTAGCATCATCCAATCACCATCTAATGTCATCCTTGCATTCAACAGTCTAGAGTCTAGACAGGATTGGTTCCATTATGCCTAATACACTCCAAGTTTCCAATTTATAAAATATCATAACAGCTGTGGCCTATTCAACAACCACACTATATTGTGTGGCTAGCTGTGTAACACCTTTTAACCAATTGTTTCATTTTGCCCTTTGCAGTTGGAACACCGTGTACATCTGCAAGACTTATTCCTTTCTTGTGGTTTTATAGTCGAGCCAATCACAAGCACAAAACCCAAACTTAAACTGCTGTAAAAATCAGTTATGCCATAGATCCCCTTCCATTTCTTTTAGGCCTGGGTACCTGCTGCATAAGTTTAATATGCTCAAAGCCAAATATATCTTTTGTTTCTCTTGACACAGCCGTGAGGGACGCTGGGAGCTCTCCATATGGCAACATTCCTTTCAAATGACATGTAAAAACCTCATGGCCAGTTTCTGTTACTAAAGATCCCATGTCACCTTTTTGGATAAATGAGGGTGTAAATCTTAATTTCCCAGCTAAATTCCAGTTTGGGTAATTGTGTGGTAATTGTAAATGGAATTTGCTGTTTCAAGTGGGTATGGAATTTTTCACTTTCCTAAACTGTTTTGTAGTGCTGCTGTGTATTGTTAAACTATCTCTCCATTTCATTCCAGAGGTGATTGTATTTTAGTAAAACTCAGCATTTTTACAGCCCTTTATATACTGAAAGTACCATGCCGGCACTAATTCTCACAACATCCTTGTGAGGTAGAAGAGTAAGCAGCATTATTATTCCCATTTTACAGATGGGAAACTGAGACTAAAAGGTGAAATGACTTGCCCCAAAATATAGGGAGGTTGCAGCAGAGCTGGGATTAGAATTCAGGACTTTGACTCCCCACATTATGTTCATGCCAACAAATCCTTGGGATGTGGGGGAAAGTAGAGCGGGGATTAGTGACAGAAAAGCTGCTTTCCTTCTGATTCCTGGGTGCAAGCTGGTTTCGTGTGCTAGCTCAGTATTAAACTTATGTGTGAAGAGAATTACGTTCAGTAGGTTTCTGTAGTGTGTTGGTCATTCTACAGGTTGAGGATCCATCCCCAAAGTAATGCTTAAGCAAGTACCTGTTTTAGGACAATTTGATTTTTAGTAGACAGCAATTTCTGTAAATTATTCTGTACCCACAAATTGTTCTTCTGCTGGGAGAGAATTGTAACCCATTGTCTAGTTAATGGTGTAATCACGCTGGTATGTTCAAATTGTATGTAGTCAGACACTTCACCTTCCCCCTTGATGCAGTAAACATCTAAGGGCAGGTCTACACTAACCCCCCAAGTCGAACTAAGGTACGCAACTTCAGCTACGTGAATAACTAAGGTCAATGGGACCTGTGCTCTGGATATAAAAATGCTGAGTACTCTGAAAAAATCAGGCCCTTGGCTTCTCGGATGGGGAACTTGAAATTAATAACGTAGCTGAAGTTCGAAGTACCTTAGTTCGAACTTACCTCCGTCCAGACGCGGCAGGCAGGCTCCCCCGTCGACTTCGCGTACTCCTCTCGTCGAGCTGGAGTACCGCAGTCGACGGCGAGCACTTCCAGGTTCGACTTATCGCGTCCAGACAAGACGCGATAAGTCGAACCCAGAAGTTCGATTTGCTTGCCGCCGAACTACCGGGTAAGTGTAGACCTACCCTTAGTGTAGTCCTCAATTTGAAGAGGACTAAGTGTAGTCCTAAGGTACTTGGAGGGTAAAGTCAGCCTTGGTTTAGCACCAGAGGCTATATTTTTGTCATCTAGTTTCATTTCATTCATGACTTAAACCAGTGGTTCTCAAGCAGGGGTACGGGTACCCCGGGGGTACGCAGAGGTCTTCCAGGGTATACAGTACATCAGTTCATCTAGATATTTGCCTAGTTTTCCAGCAGGCTACATAAAAATCACTAGCAAAGTTACAAACTTAAATTTCATACAGACAATGACTTATTTATACTGCTCTGTATACTGTACACTGAAATGTAAGTACAACATTTATATTCCATTTGATTTATTATTGTATGGTAAAAATGAGAGAGAGTCAGCAATTTTTCAGTAGTAGTGTACTGTGACACTTTTTGTATTTGTCTGATTTTTATAAGTAGGTATTTAAGTGAGGTGAAACTTGGGGTACGCAAGACAAATCAGAATCCTGAAAGGGGTACACTAGTCTGGAAAGGTTAAGAGACACTGAAAAACCAATGAGGTCTCAAAGTGGTTATGGAGTAATGATAGTGGCACCATAGTTAAGGTTGCAGCAGAGGTTCTGTTTAAAATGAATCTAGCATCTAAAACCCATATGGTATCCTATGTATATAGTAAATCAGCTTGACAAGTAGCATGCCAGTTCAAGGGCCTAGGTAGCCCTATTCTGAGGGCTTAAGCAGGACTTGCGTGACACATAGGCTTTGTGTTGACTCTCTGCATGGTGGTGAATTTCACCCTTCACGAGCAGTAAATGTCTGGCACAGAACATTGGATGAAGCATGTTTCCTGCTAAAATCTTTAAAACTCTCAGGATTCACGAACATTTTCACAAAAACCTGGTGGCTTTCTGAGTAATTATGAATCATATGGTCCTACAAATCCTAGTAAATCAAACTCAGCCTTTTGATTTGTCAAGATGTTTGAAAAGAAATATTTTACTATTTTACCAGGTCTAGTTCTAACCACTTCTGGTCACTAATGACTCCATAATAATAATTAATAATAATTCATAATTATGTAAGAATAGGATGCTAATTCCAGTGTTCCGACAAAACTCCATTTTGCGTGATCTGCATTCTGCCGATTTAAAATCCCTGTTGGTGTTCTAATTGGATAAACTCTTCTCCACTTTTTTCCTAAATTGTTGCATCAGCTGGTGTGTCCTTAGAAGCAATGGGTGAAATGATCTCTGTGAATAATTTGTATGAATATGTGAAATGCTGATGGATCTTTTGAGGGAAGGTGTCCCTTCAGTTTGAGATTATCATTACAACGTAACAAAGTTCTTCTGTGTATCTTGGACATAATACTTTACAAAATTATATGTGCAGATACATAAAGATCCCAGCTATGCTTTCAATTAGAGATTTTAATTTTTAATGAGGTTTGGAAGGATTAAATTTTGTATTGGTAAATGTTGATAAACATTGATTTCACCATACATACATAATCTGATGAAAATTAGAATTTTACAGATAGGCAAAGTTTAAAAAAAAAAAGCAGTTTGAGAACTTATTAACATTTGATTTAAGGATATTTACTCTGTATATTTTGACATATGATGTTGACAACTTGTGTTTTTAAAGGACTTTTTGAATGTCCATGTCTATTGTCATGAAGTAATTATTTCCTGTAACCGTGAAAATGTTTTTGGATGTTCTTCTACATTTTCAAATATATTGATTTCAATTACAATGCAGAATACAAAGAGTATAGTGCTCACTTTATATTATAATTTTATTACAAATATTTGCACTGTAAGAAAGATAAACAAAAGAAATAGTATTTTTCAGTTCACCTCATATAAGCCCACTCAGTCCTACTTCTTGTTCAGCCAATCACTAAGACAAACAAGTACATTTACAGGAGATGAAGCTGTCCGCTTCTTATTTACAATGTCACCTGAAAGTGAGAACAGGCGTCCACAAGGCACTGTTGTAGGTTGGCGTTGCAAGGTATTCACGTTCCAGATATGATAAACATGCCTCTTCATGCTTCGACTTGTAGGCTCTAAAGTTTTACATTGCTTTGTTTTTGAGTGCAGTTACGTAAAGAAATATCTACATTTGTAAATTGCATTTTCACGATAAAGAGATTGCACTACAGTACTTGTATGAGGTGAATTGTAAAATACACCTGTACCTCGATATAACGCGACCCGATATAACACGAATTCTGATATAACGCGATAAAGCAGTGCTCCGGGGGGGCGGGGCTGCGCACTCCGGCGGATCAAAGCAAGTTCAATATAACGCGGTTTCACCTATAACGCGGTAAGATTTTTTGGCTCCCGAGGACAGCGTTATATCAAGGTCGAGGTGTACTATTTCTTTTGTTTATCGTTTTTACAGTGCAAATATTTGTAATAAAAATATAAAGTGAGCACTGTATACTTTGTATTCTGCATTGTAATTGAAATCAATATATTTGAAAATGTAGAAAAACACTCAAAATATTTATAATTAATTTAAATTGGTATTCTATTGTTTAACAGTGCGATTAAAACTGCGATTAATTGCAAATATTTTTTAACCTTGCAATTAATTGCAATTATTTTTTAATCGTTTGACAGCCTATATATATAAATAAATATATATATATATACAAAAAATTAAAAAATCAATTTCTACCAAACCTATTTTTAACATCCTTTGTTTTGCATTTCAGTGGTTGTTCCCTCAGCCATGTCAGCTTGTGAGCCCAAGACTAATGGGCACCATCCAGCTCCACGACTCTCTGTTTCTTCCCGGACCACTGTTGTCGCCACCATGGAAACCACCTCCCAGGGCTCGCAGACAGTCATGAAGTGGAAAACAGTGGTGGCCATCTTCGTTGTGGTTGTAGCTTACCTGGTAACTGGAGGTCTTGTCTTCCGTGCCCTGGAGCAGCCTTTTGAAAGCAGCCAGAAAAATACAATAGCCTCAGAGAAGGCGGATTTCCTTCGGGAGCACGTTTGTGTGACCCCAATGGAGCTGGAGACTCTGATTCAGGTGAGATGTGAGGAAGACAGCAACTCATGGTGGAGGAGGAAATATATATAATTTTTTTTTTGAGCCTCTTCCTGGAAGTTCTGAGAAATGAGCTTAGTATTTCATTGCTAAGTCCAAACCACAGGGTGACTGGATGTCTCAGGGGGATTGGCAATGAGGTAGGGAGCCTTGCAGCTTGAAGTCCCTGGTTTGAATCTAACCCAAATGGGTAGTGACAGAAGTTATCACTTGAGAGCTGTTTGGTGGCCTGTGTGAAATGAATTGGTCTCATTCTAGGTTCCACTCAAGAAGTGTCGGTATTGCCAACGTTCACCATCCCAACTGTCAGCCTCAGCAGAGGGGTCAAAGACCAAATGGGTATAAGGACTTGATAATCCTCTTTCTGTTCTTTAGGTGGTGCCTCCCAGTCAAGATATTGTGAAAAGGTCTGCATTGCTGCTGGCTGTGTGGTACATGTTCCTGTTTGCAGTGCTTCTAATCTGGCAGCTTTCACCAATGCTGAATTCACATTAAAGCATCTAGGAGCTAGCTTCATTTATTTGTTGTTAGGCCTGTGCACACTAATGTAAGAACATTTCCTGCTGGCTTGACTGACAAAGCTGGGGTTCGTTAATAAGATGGCCATTCATTTAATAAGTGAATCCTACGCAAAAAGTCCAGAATTCTTGTAGTGAAAATCCTGTTTTGATGAGGAAGATTAGAATTTCACTTCAGAAGAGTGACAACACTTGCTCTATTCTACAGTAGTGTCGAGGGGGCCATATTCAGTGCTGGTGTGGATCATCTGAAGTCAGTGAAGATACACTAGGGTTGAATTTGGCTTGATGTGTTTGGCATTTCAGTCTGAGAATGTTCTATCCCCATTTACTGGGAGCAGCTCAAATTGCAGCACTGAACCTCAATATTGAGGTAGATGAGTGAGCTTTATTGATGAGGTCTGCAGTGCATAAGTATTCACACACTAAAGCATAGCTCCCAACATTTCAAGTAGCTAAAGTGGGACACAGTGCCGCTCATGTCTGGCTCCTATCCCGCTCCATAGCTAGAGACAGAGGTGTGTACGGACCAAATTTGATTGGCATTGCAATCTAGCACACTTTGTTGTGGTGCCACACAAATTTGGCCCGTGGGCCCCTCCATCTGCATCTATGGAGGGGCAGATGGGCCAGTCCTGAATGGTGCTGCAATCCCATGTGCCGGGTCACAATGCCACTTGATTTGGGGGCCCTCTCAAACAGGGAACCTGGAGACTCCAGCCTCCCACCCCAGGTGACCCTGAATGCAGAAATGTTCGCTTCAACTGAGGCAGGAGGTTTTGGCGGTCAAAATGGGATAGTACTGCAAAACCTGGGACTGTTGGGAGGTCTGCTAAAGTCCTTTCCTAACATTCATTAGGCTCAGTGCAAAACCTGTGATGAATTTCGTGGGGAACAGCCTCTTTTTAGTTGTCCAAAGTTCTGACCTGGAGTCTGGAGAGAATGTCCCCAAAACATTGCAGATGGAAGTCCAGATCTATTCTCGAATGCAGTACAAAATGTTTTCAAGCAAACTTGAAACTATTTTATACTCACCTGGACTGGAGTTTTGTGACGGGTCCAGAACTGAAGCAAGAAGCTTGCTTAGGTTCACAAAACTTTTGCATGAAGCTGGACCCAATTCCTCCTGCCTGGTCAAACTGTTGAGACTCTCACAACTCTATAGTTCACAAGAGGAAACTATACTTATTTTAATTAGGACTGTCAAGTGATTAAAAAAATTAATCACGATTAATTGTGCTGTTAAACAACAACAGAATACCATTAAATATTTTTGGATCTTTACTACATTTTCAAATATATTAATTTAAATTACAACACAGAATACAAAGTGTACAGTGCTCACTTTATAATTTTTATTACAAATATATTTGCACTGTAAAAAAAAAAAGAGATAGTATTTTTTTAATTCACCTCATACAAGTACTGTAGTGCAATCTCTTTATCGTGAAAGTTGACTTACAATTGTAGAATTATGTAAAAAAAAACTGCATTCAAAAATAAAACAGTGCACAACTTTAGAGCCTACAAGTCCACTCAGTCCTACTTTTTGTTCAGCCAATCACTCAGACAAACAAAGGTTTGGTTACAATTTGCAGGAGATAATGCTGCCTGCTTCTTATTTAGAATGCTACCTGAAAGTGAGAACAGGTGTTCGCATGGCACTGTTGTAGCTGGCGTTGCAGGATATTTACGTGCCAGATGCACTAAAGATTCATACGTCCCTTCATGCTTCAGCCATCATTCCAGAGGACATGCTTCCGTGCTGCTGATGGGTCCTGTTTGATAATGATCCAAAGATATGCGAAGTTCTTGTTTTTCTAACAAACACTTTCCCCTGCCTATTAGGAATTCTATCTCAACAGGATGCTAAAGAGTGCAACACCAGGATATTTCTTAATATCATGTACTCTGAACCAGGTTTCAGTTTTCAAGTGTACACAACATTTCGTCCTTTCTTTTACCTCAAAGGTGGTGGCCTTTATCTCATATCCAGGCAGGTTGTGTCACTGCAAGTCAGATATTCTGAACAAACCTTCTCTCTCGTGAATTCAGTTTGTCCTCAGGCATTTCACTGGCTAACTGGGAATCATTTCTAAATAGTAAATTAAACCGGTTTAGCAGTTTGACATACTGAATGGCTTAAGGCCAGCTAGTGTAAAATATTAAAATGTATTTTGTCAATAAAGAATAATTTCTATTTGATTCTTATGAGTGACTAGGAATAGGTAAGCATGGCTCACAACTGTGGTGAAATACAATGATACATTATAAAGCTGCACTTGTAACTGAGCTGAGTGTAAGAACACAACACAGTGTTTCAGATTATTGTCAAGGGGTTAACATTTTTGCTTTCTACCTTTTATGTTGATTTTAAAAAGTGACATCTTCCCTAGTTGGCACAATGGATTACTGCATTGCACCAAGTGCTGGCCCGTCTGAAAGACCATGAGATTAGAATAATGGCACGGATGGGGTAACCTCTTGGGTCTTGGCGGTGTTACATGTTTTCATCGCAAAGCTACACCTAGGGGCGATATTTATTATTAATTCAATTAGAGTCCAGGGGTCGGCAACCTTTCAGAAGTGGTGTGCCGAGTCTTCATTTATTCACTCTAATTTAAGGTTTCACATGCCAGTACTACATTTTAACGTTTTTAGAAGGTCTCTTTCTATAAGTCCATAATATATAACTAAACTATTGTTGTATGTAAAGTAAATAAGATTTTTAAACTGTTTAAGAAGCTTCATTTAAAATTAAATTAAAATGCAGAGCCCCCCTGGACCAGTGGACGGGACCCAGGCAGTGTGAGTGCCACTGAAAATCAGCTTGTGTGCCGCCTTCGGCACACGTGCCATAGGTTCCCTACCCCTGAATTAGACTAACTTACATTGTGTAGATGAATGCATAGAGCATACTCCCCAGAGTTACAATGAAGACTCAGCTCTGAGCTACTGGAGTACGTTCTCATGGAACAGATCCAATAGGGGAATGAAAGGAAGACTTTAACCATAGGCCAGGGTCTATGCTCTTTCAAGCTGGAGTAGCCTTTGTTAGAAGGGGGCAGTAAGGAGAGGTTGTAAAGAGGAGATGAAGCCTGTGATGAGTTTGCAAGGTCAAACTTCTGACCTGAGCCCTAGGTCCTATGTCTCCTGGAAGGGTCTTGCCTTGGGGAGACAAAGCATAGAAGGAAGACACATGGTAGCTGTGTGAGTCTAGGAGAACCTCGGTGTGCTGAAAGGTGCTCTCCATACCGATCCCCTCTTCTGCCTTCCAAAAACATTTGTATAATTGGCACAAACACTACTGGTTTTATTGCGAATGACCAGAGATGATCCCAAGCTGTGAAGTTTAGATGTGCAGGTGCTCAGAAACGACTGATAAGTGCAGTATAAATGTCTAGATAGAGGGGAATCCAGATCCAAATAGCCTCAAAGTTTATGCCTGGTCAGATATAGGGCTTTTGTTTCACCTGTTGTAGAGACAGAGCCTGTCCATAAAATTCAGGGAAAGATGTGAACTTCTCAAAGTTTCTGTTTGCCAGTGGAGTTCAGTTCAGGCCCATCTCAACTACTGGTGCCTGCTGCGGTACAGGGTACAGAACAGTTTCTCCTAGCAATAACTACATTGTCTCACTACACATCTGGTGTTATCCCAGTTTGCCTGAAGTGAAAGTTTGTAGTTTTGTTAGCACCCATCTGCTTCTTAAGATGAATATACTGCAGTGAAAATAACTCATTAATTAGTGCTTCATGCAATCTATGACCTGGCTTCAATGATATTATGAACTATTGTAAATATAGAGGAGTGAGGGATGGACAAAACCAGCTATGCACTACTTTTTAATTGCAGCCCTTTTGGATGAGGGGACTTTCATCAGATTGATCTGAAATTGAATTTTGAGAGGAAAAAAAGAAAGAAAAAGGTCTAATGTAATAAAAAGAAAACAGACCTGCCTGCGTCCATTGTGTTTAGCTCTCTGATTCCCATTTGGCCAAAGTGTAAGATTCAACAAAGGATTAGACAATTATTTTAATAAAAATAAGATCCGCAGTTATACTTGCTAAGGTAAAATTACCAGGATTACTCATCCTAATGGTTCAGGGATAAGATGATCAGTACCCTCTCTTTATAGTGTTATAGCTGACTACAGCAGCTCTACCCAGGACCGTAACAGGAAATAGTATGAGAACAGAGAGTTGGTAAGGAGGGAGGCTAGTCAGTAGTTACTGTCTGGGGCTCAACTATTTGCACTGCTAATGCAGTCAACCCCTGAGGTGTGCTTTGAGTTTTTTCCCTAAAGAGCAGAATTAGTAAAGAAACTTTAGACGCTGTGGCCCAGATCCATAAGAGTCCTTAGGTGTTGCAAGGCTGAGTGTTGCAATGCCTAAATTTTAGGCACTTAGAAAATCACAGGAACAAAACTATGATCCAGAAAACCTGGCTAGGCTCCCTATATAATG